GGAGAGGCTGTCGTTGAGGATGCTTTGTATGCTTTGTGTTCGTCGTGATTATCTTGATCACGTGAATAATTGCTTTTTCTTCACTACCACGTTATCCTGGATCCAGCTTTGCAGTCTTGGGATTTAGTTTTTGATTTCTGTCTAAGTCTTCATGTCCCTGTATTTGTCTATTTATCATTCGAACAGCATTGGTAAATAGAATAATAGGTTGCAAGTTGATTCTTCGGAATCTATCAGTAACTTCATCGGTTGCATTCTATATGTTAAAGATTTCGGTTAATCTGGTTGACTTAGTTGGGATGGTTAGAAGTAAGATGATGGAGATGAAGGCAGACGATGTCGAGAAGAAAAGTTAGCGCCCTAAGCCATTTGGGGCATTCCCATCTGGTTCGGGTCGTGATCGAACCTATCGGGGGCTTGGAAACTGATGGTTGGGAGAGTGAAGAACTTCAGTCGTATAAAAAATATTATGTTAGAAACAGGGGCACGGAGAAGAATAAGTCACACTTTTACAGTGACGCGCATTTTCTCACGAGAGGAAGCTTACCTTGGATCACAACAACCACACAGAAATTTTAATTCAGAAAATATTCAGATCGGCAGCTTCATATTCATTCAAAATATTCTGAACGGGAGCCACGCTTTGTCAAGTTAGTGTAAAATTATTTCTTGCGCCAATAATTCTGAAAGACGCTAAGCAATTCTAGAATTATTAAACCGATGTGCTTTTTCATGGAGGCTGGCTGCAAATTTTACGATAGCTAGGTCTAAATTGCTGGACGTTAGTTGGGATTATGAGATTCCGTTTGCAGATGGGCATTGTTGGTCACCATTCATCTCCCATCCTCCGCCAAAATACTTTCAAACAACCTCACAGACAGAACACTATCCACAATAATACGTAATCACATAGGTCCTGCACTACAAATCCACACAGGTGTCCCCCAAGGGACTTGTCTCTCCCTCACTTTATACAGCTTTTTTACCCACAACCTCCACCGCTATTCCCAAAACAGACTACATAGCTTTTTACAGATAACAAAAATAACCACAGGACGTTACCCACACTACCACGCAGCAGTACAAACATAACACGCCATACAACAGATCAACACCTTCGAAGATAAATAGCTCATTAGGATAAACAAATAAATCATCTCGTCATTGGGCAAAACTCTAATATATGTATTGTCTATAACATATTAGGTGAAATATCGATGTTTTTATAGATCAAATTCACTATCCATACGCGTACATTAAGGATCAGTTTTAGAATGGCATTTCACCACACACGGCTCTAGCGCTTGAATAGCAAACTAAGAAGCATAAGAGGCCCTTACAAATCTACACTAAAAACACAGATACAGGTAAAATACACAGATTTTACCATCTCCCACCCAACATAAAACGCATTTTATACCTCTCATTTGTCAGATCATCGCTCATTTACCCCCGATACAGGTACACACCTAATCAAAAACAGCCATATCCAAACTGCAGACAGTACAAAACTAAGCAACTCGATTCATTGCAAACACACACTGGTCCGGCTTCCTATCCATTCAAACACTGCAAGAACAATGCAACATTCCAACAATAAACACAGTCTTTCACCAATGAGCACGCAAATTTTTGTCCACCATAAAAATATATGATCCCCAACTCTTCAATTAACTCACATTCCCACCAGACGTCATAGCAGAACAGCGCAGGTGATTCAAAAGCTCCAAGTTACATACACTAGATCCCCCATCTCCACCTACGTACAAATAACTACTCAGCAGACCATCCTGTACCCGGACTGCAGTTTTTTAATCGCGTTTGGGTTTAGCCGGTCCCACAACAACCCACATTATCCAAGACACTGCTGAAAGCACGTTTCGCCTGGTCGGCAGTCACAACCTGGGGCCGTATTATTAAAATTTCGTAAGTACACAAAATTGACTTACGAGTGGCGTAAGTACTGACTTGATGACGTTACTCTAGCGGTGGTATTATCAAAACATTTGCGCGGGAAGATACGTAACGTAACTACGCCTGCTCGGAGATGTCGCAAGTGGAGTTTCAACCTATTTCTTCCATTCTTTGACATCCCATTCTATTCCAGTTACACCATGTATAGTCATTAACCAATCATCGCTTATTTTGTTATCCATTTACTCACCCTCGTGTTTCACAGGTACATCTTTCGCGCCCAACGCTCATCATTCATTCTTTCTAGTCGGTACTTTATATCTCTGCCAACCATAATATTTTTAGCTCCGTACACAAATTACTTCTTCAACTCACGTTGTTGCGTGGGGAAAATTACGCTGATGGACTGAAATTACTCAAATAAAGTGTCCCACAATAAATACGAGACCGATGACCTACCGAATCACTGCAATGCTTAGAAGCTAGTTGCCGAAATGATAGCTTGAAAAAATAGCACAAATTCGACTGAACCCTCTGAGTCTCGTGCGACTCACCATCATCATCATCATTATCACCACCATCGTCATCTCATCTTATGGAGATAATTATAATAATAAAATAAAAAAAGAATAAATAGGGCAGTGCAAAGAAATGGTGATTATGTAAAAACCCTTTCATCACCCACCCGCTTAAACCATATGGTTCTTAACCTGGGTTCGATCGAACCCCAGGGGTCCGGTGAGTCGTTTTCAGGGGTTCGACGGCAGGGTGGTGGAGTTAACATCATCGAAGCGGAAGAAAATCTGGGGTCTTTCAAAAAACTACAATTATGGAAACGACGAACAGAGAATGATAATTTTGTTAACTTTCCCCTGTTGGATGACTAGCTGTAAGTAAGATCGAGGACGTGTCCGGTACCGGAGACATTTCTGTACCCAGGGAACTGAAGCAAGCAACTGCAATGCACTTAGATGAGCTCGCAAAGTCTCTCGGATACTTCCCCACCACAATCTCTTACCCAGCATGGGTGAAACATCCGTTCACGTTTAGTGTTGCGACCGCAGATGTGAATGCTGAATACCTGGACAAAATCTTTGGACGGCAGGAGAGCGAGAGCCAGTTTCAACAGCAACTCTTCAAAACAACAACGCTCTTAACGTTTTGGTGTCTCCAAATTGTTGCGTACCCCCTTATTGCGAAGAAAGTTCTTGATATTCTCATACAGTTTGTTACAACATATCTTTGCGAGCAGTCCATTTATGATGGTAAACATCAAAACGAAAAAAAGTAACCTACTTTGTTGCGAAAATGATTTGAGAGTGGCACTTGCGCAGGTGAAGCCGCGCATTCCTGAAACTGTCGGACTGAGGCAACAACAAAAGTCACATTGATTTGCAATAAATATTCATTTTGTTTTTGTTCTGTGCGAAATTTATGTTGTGTAGGTTTTTTTCTTTCAACAAAGTGATTTTGTGCGCAAATAATGCATGGATCAGTTCATGCAGTTACACAGTATATAGTTATATAGTATAGAAATATGTTTTGAATAAAAAAATACATTTTATTTTTCCACCTACGAAGGGTTCGATGAATGCATGTATATGGAACTTGCATGGTTCGGTACCACCAAAAAGGTTAAGAACAACTGGCTTAAACCATCCAAAGCCCTGACGGATTCCCCCTCTCCACAACCCCAGCCAAGCCCCACCCACCAACGACCAACCAAATCGTGCACAATGCACTTTTTTCATATCCCCCTCTATTTTTTTCAATTTCTTCTTTCTCTTCCTGGACACTCAGTGCAGTTCTTGTTCTCTCGATTTTTTTCCTAGGGGCACCGCAACAACAACAACAACGTTTAGTGGGGGACGATCATTACACTCTGGGCTATTGGCTTCAGTATATGGTGATGTGAAGCTCTTAATAGCAAAAAAAAAAACAAGATGATGTCATAGGCTGGTTACTAGCGGCAAGCTTAATAATACACAGCTGATTGGTGGCCTTACGGATATATCATTATTGTTATTCTTAGAAGCATTTTGCGTGGTATTCCAACGGGAAAAATTCAAGTTTAGTTCGTTTTTTCAAACGAACTAAAAAACAGGATATTAGCAAAAAAGTTTCCTTCTGTCCTGTTTTTCTGTGCAATTGGATAATCATCTGCAGAGCAGCGCCATTCCGATGATGAACTGAAAAAAGCAGCGGTTGTCTTCTTCTTTAGCGACGGCATACACAAGTTGTTCCCAAAAGACGATAAATGCGTCAACACTTATCCGAATTATGTAGAAAAGTAAAGTATGGCCTTTCAATTGAATGAATTATTGTTGGAAAAAGCACGTTTGTAGTTTTTTATGGCAAAACGGTCGGTACACTGTTAGAAAAAACGGTGAAAAAACGGTCCCACTGGCGTTCTAGTGGCCGGCCGCCCCGTGAAAATAAACTGTTGCGCCGTTTTTATCAGATGTTTTACGGGTTTCTAGTGTTAAATTGGAATAAAAACGGCGACACGGTGTTTCTTTTCACGTGCCGACCGGCCACTGAAACGCCGGTATAATACCGTTAACGGTAATTTTTCTAACAGTATATTATTATTAGTAGTATTGTTATTAGTATTGTTTTGATGCATAGCTTTAATTCGACCTTTCTCGAATTTCTGTTATTCAGTACCTTTATTCAATTATTGTTATACGACCGTTACGGTTGGTTGAATGTCTGGGTCACTGAAAGCTTTGTTTTAATGTTTATTGAATGAACCCTTGCAACGTAAAAACATTCAAAACCTCTTCAACATCCTGATCGTTTATGATCCAAGCACAAACACGCTGAAACAGCCAAATGCATGTGAATAGAAACAATAATTTCTGGGCGCAATCCTTCATTCAATAATGCGACATTCTTGTACAAGAGCTGAGGACGGCGCAGTATTTATAAGGCAGTCTCAGACACGGAGCGCCTCACTTCGACCCAAACTCTGGTGATGTGAGGGACGAGTTTCGACGTGAGTCCCTCGCATCCATTGCAGCTTGCTGTGTGCGGCACATTCGGTGATGTTTATACTACGCACGCAGCTTTGTGAGCCTCAAAAACGAATCCTTCATTGTTAAATTGGTAACAGCAAGAAAAGATCTGGTGTTTACTGCTGCTGCTCAATTGCGTGGTTATAGCCAAAGGTTCAAGCAAGTGACAATGGAATAAAATACTTATTGCTATGTAACTAAGTGGCCATTTCGAGTGTCAACAGTACCACATTTTCTGGATAATTTTTATTCTTATAGGTGCGAAAACTTGGATAAAGTAACATGTTATAATGGTCATTTAATTGAACGAGTTAAAAAACCATTCGAATGTATACATAGACAATCTCTAAATGTTCATTTCCCCATACGCCAAACAAATAACACTCTTCCATTGTATACCAATGCACTGGACCATTGCAACCATTCTTTCGATCGAAATTTTGCATTTCATAACGTAGCCGCACCAGCCATAGATGTCTAAGAAATATTTTCTCTCAATCTTTATTTCTAAATCACTCGAACCATCAGCCCTCTTTTTTGCTCCTCGTTAATTAATTATTAATTAATACTTGGTGAACTAAAGTTTGCAATTTGCACAAATATATGCGTGTTAAGTTAGTAGTTAAATATATGTACGATAAATAAATGTTTTGGCACTTATATACTGTTTATGTTTCAACGATAGTAATAATGCCAATCAATAATATTCGTGAAAGTTGAGTCAATCATCTAATCAGACTACTACCTGTTTTTGATTTAACAGGAATAAATTATTATTAAACGTCATTAACCTATTGTTGGAGCAAATTCTGTTCATTTGAATCATGCTACGAAACTCAATCAATTGAAGGCATCTCCGTAAAGTGAAATAACACGTAGTTGATGTCTGAATATTTTTGCATCAGGTTTACAGTGCCATATAATTTTTGATTATCTGACATATGGCTTCAACTTATGAAACTGAATAAGCCTCATTATAAAGATCTAAATCAATTTGCGAGGATCGGGTTGAACCCATTTCCTGCAGTATAAATTTGAGCCCAGCAGCGAATTGTAAAGATAAGTCTAGGAATTTATCTTGCTTAGGCGTGAACAATGAGCATGTACACTTGTACAGAATACACGTTAATTTAATCAGGAGAAATTTTCAATTTGGATGATCGCAGCTGGAATATTTGAGTAAGCCAGCCAGGCTATATACATGAGCTCAAGACATCACTCAAAAAATTTAACCCTCAATAGCCGTATGTCACTCTCCTGGAAAAAGATTTAAACTTAAATTATACGTAGACTATTGAGTATAATTTATAGCAATTTTTTTCATTATCCCCGATTCTGCGAGAGTAACATAAGTTTGTGTGAAGCAATTCCTTGTGGTATCGAATCGATAGCTTGTCATCAAATTCGCTCCGTATGTCAAGCAGTTCCAAAATTCTTGCTATAGCATTTTTTCATTTTCTAGCTTAATCCTTACAATTCGTCGCAGAACTCATATTTATACTGTCGGAAATGGGTTCAGTGCTATTCTTGTAAATTGAATTCTTGTGAGTGATCAAGGCTTGCATTACGCAAGTGACGTGCATGTATATCTGGTAGCTGACGATTCTAAATCTTTAACCAGCATCCGTTCTGCTGTAACCAGCATCCGTCCTTCGTAATCCAAGTTAATTTTACTTAATATCAGGTTATCAGTATCCATGATTATGAGTGAATTCATGATTTAGATTGAATTATGTTGCATTCATGTCGAAGAAAGGACTAAACGATCTGTTGAATTGCATGAAGCATTGCGAAATTCGATGAGTCATTTGTTGCGTTCTCAAATAATCGTCTAAATTATGTAAAGAGTAAAGTTTCTGATTTTTTCAACCATACTTATTCCTCGGATAACATTTGTTTTAATCGTCGCTTCAACTAATAAATCAAACAAAATTAAACTGAAAATCTCTTTAGCATAATTTTTGTATTATTTTTATCATTTATTTTTAATGGAGTATTTTCTTGTCGTATAACATCAGGAAATGATACGTAACGAACATTTGTTTACGTTCCAGATGTCTGCATTCTGGCAGCTCGTCTTAGCAGTTGCTTGCGTCTCAAACCTTACTTTGGGCTCCAATGTCATTCACAACAGAAGCGAAAAAAACAAATTTAATGATCAAACCTCACACTGGGAAATAAATTATGACAAAAATGTCCCCTACTCACCTACGGGAGATAATACTGAGCTCCTCTACTCGGCCCTTCCCAAGAAAGCAAGACTCGCATCATACAAGCACTCCTTGAAAACTGCAACTCCAAGCAAACAATGGCCCCTGGCACCACCCAACAGATTAAATTTTTCGACTGACTCTTCACATGTAGTACACTTTGAAAGTGACTTCTCATCACAAATCAATGACGACTCTAGCGGATTTTTCAATGTATCTTATTTTGGGAATACCTCATTAGCAATTGCGCCTCTGAACAAGCTTCGACATGACACTTCCAACTATGATGCATCCGAAGCTGCACGTCATCGACAGCTGTTACGGCATACCCTGGAGGGTCTGAGTTCACTAATGTTGAAATTAAACATTATAGGCAAATGCTCAGTCTTCACAGTTGATGAAGTTAAGAACTCAACAACAGAAATAATTGATCATATTTTCGTAAAACGTACAGAAAATGACATTAACAGTTCCAACAACATTTGGAAAACAAGGAAACATCCAGTGCGCAGGGCATTGAGTAGATTAGTAACAGCTAATTGGAATGAAATGGAAAGTTGCGATCATAGCATTACCATCTTGTCAATGAGAGAGCAATACGAAGCAATCATCAACAAACTAGACGACGATTTAAAAGCTTTCTTTTTCAAGCAGATTCATCCATTATTTCAGTACATGGAGTCGGGAGGTTATACAAATTTTGAAAAGCTAATGCCGATTGCTCATTTTATTTGCGAGAAAACTCTTTCCCTGAAAGACTCAGAAGCAGAGCAGTGCGAAGAAGACTTTTTGTCACTTACAACCAAAGTCTTAGGTGAGAACTTTAATTAAATCATCTAATATTACCGGAAAAAGCGTGTGATCCGTTGCAGTTCCGTTGAGCCGTACGACTGTTGTAAACGACCGTAACTTGCGCACATATTTACGGCTGTACGTTCCGCAACCGTACCGCGGCTGTCACCGCGCGTTGCAGCCGTATTTCAAGTGGCCGTACTGCAGCTGTACCGCGCGCCTCTCTTCACAGTTGCACTTTCTTCGTAACTGTCATATCTCGTTGATATATGTAGATGTCTCACGGCCAGTCTGGCCGTAGGTTGTTTTACAACGACCGTACTTCAGAGTAGTGGCGCAGTCTTCATCGTCGATGATGTTACTTTGGGCTCAATGCGGTGCTTCGGCGGTTGAAGATGAATGTAATCGTACCGCTTCTTCTTGATGGAAATCGTGACCGTATCGTACTGATGATTTTTGGTGTAGAGCTCGAAACTTAGATCTTCTGATGACGTGCGTTATTATCGTTGTACAACTCGTGGTTTCTCGCGAGGTCTCACGACTGAGTCGCAGCCGTAGTGTTGATGTTGACCGTATAATATGTTGAAGTCGTAGCCGTCCATTGTATTTGTTTGACGCACTCACAGGAATCGTAACTGCCTCGGTGAGTCTAAGTTTCTCGCAAGTCGCGACCGTCAATGTTCGAAAACGGTAACACCGCGGCCTCACGGCCGCAGCCGTCACGCCCGATAACTGCAGACCGTACGTGCGCGACGGTCAACTCCTTAGAACCAACAACCCTTGGCGCGAATTTCTAAGGTCCTTATATACGCTAGTGTCGCACACACTTAAGCCTAACCCTCGAGAGACGCTACATTCCTTCGAATGGAATTTCCCTCACAACGCTCGTTCAATGTTTCCCACGGTCTCGAAACAACCGCGCCGCCGCATTCTTAGCATTTTTAACATCTATGCATAATACATGTTCAATATTACCTATGTTCAATATTACCTACTTTATTCAGTCCTATAGAATAGAATAGAAGTGTCGGCATTGAAGACATAGGCCCATGGCCTGTTGCCGATTCTTTTACTTTTTGTGACTTGATTCACAAGGGATCCGGCCTTTGGAAGCCGATTTTTCAATAACTGACGATTGATTGAGATAGCTGCTGTACTTATTGCATGGTCCGTAAGTTGCTAGGCATTTTAAGACAACATATGTTCCTGCATAGCTTCGTCTAGTCTGCTTTTGAAGGCATTCATACTCGAAGCGTCAACGATGCTATCAGGGAGGCTGTTCCACATGTCGGTGACTCGAAGCGAGAATAAATGTTGTCGCATGGATGTGTTACAGCGCAGTTTCTTTAGTTTATAGCCGTGGCCCCTGGTGTTGGTTCATGTTTCAAATTTTAGTAATCCTCCTGGGACCTTGCATAAGCCATGGGTATACTTGTATGCTTCAATGAGGTCACCACGTAGACGTCGATAACTGAGGCTTGGAAGCTTCATTATCTTTAATCTTTCCTCATAGATAGGACTTGCCTTTCAGGCCCGGAATGATCATTGTTGTGCGTCTTTGCACACTCTCTATTAGATTTTTGTCCTTTTCAAGTTTCGGTGACCACACGACGTTCCCAAACTTTAGGTTCGGGCGCACGATAGCAACAAACAACTGCTTCATCGTTTCTGCATCTAGGAACTCGAAAGAAGTTCTGATCGGACCAAGTCGTTTATTGGCTTTATTGACTTGACCTTCAATGTGCTTAGAAAATTTCAACTCATTGTCGATATTAACTCCTTAATCTTTTTCCGTTGTCGACTTCGTCATCATCACTTAGTCGTTGCAACCGTGTCTTCTCATTCTGTTATCTTGCTGTTCACTATTCTTGCCAAGGTGGATTACTTTACATTTGTCAGCGTTAAAACGCAGCTGCCACTTATCAGCCCAATCAACCAGCCTGTCAAGATCACCTTGCTAACTGTACTTTTTGCGACGTATTCTGCACTGTATTATAAATTTTTGTGTCGTCAGCACACATCGAGCACACGCTAGACACAGCTTCTGGCAGATCGTTTATAAACGCAACGAATAAGGCCCGAGAACGCTTCCTTGTGGCACGCCGCTGCGCACTGAAGCCCAGTCTGATACGGACCCATTAATACTGACACGTTGTCGTCTCCCTACTAGAAAATCTCTGATCCATTTGAGTACATTACTCT